GCGTCCGTGCTGGGGGGGACGCGCAGGGGCTGATCCCAGTCCTGACCCTCAGCCTGATCCTGATCCCAGCCCCGAGCCCGATCCCAACCTGCAAGACTGACTCATCCCAACCATGATCCCAACTTGATCCCAGTCTCAATCCTAACCCTTATCCCACCCCCGATCCTGATCCCAACCTGCAAGACTGACTCATCCCAACCATGATCCCAACTTGATCCCAGTCTCAATCCCAACCCTTATCCCACCCCCGATCCTGATCCCAACCTGCAAGACTGACTCATCCCAACCATGATCCCAACTTGATCCCCGTCTCAATCCCAACCCTTATCCCACCCCTGATCCTGATCCAAATCCCCATCTTGACTCAAATCTTGATCCCAGTCCTGACCCTGATCTTGACTTCAGTACTATTCCTGATCCAAATTTCACCCCCAATCCCAATCCTGATCCAAATCTCAGCCCCAACTCAGATCTCAATCTGGATTCTGATCCTGATCCCAATCCCAGTCCCAACCCTCACCCTGACCCAACCCCATTTCTCATCTAATTTCCAACCCAACAGCGACCCCAATCCTCACCCAGCTCCTAGTGCCAGAGCCCAGCTCTGACCCCAGTCCAATTCTGGATCCAGATCCAACCCCGTTACAGATCCCAGCCCCATTGCAGATCCCATTCCCAGTCCCGCACCATGCCTGCCGGATGGCGAGCGCCGTGCGTGTCTCCCTGCCCTCCTGCCTGCTGATGTTCTTGGCCGCAGCCACCACGTCCTCCACTGTGTGGAACTGGTCCAGGTCCCACTCGTGCACCGCCAGCTCCCCATACTGCAGCACCCCGACCTGTGCCAGGGGACAGGGACATCATCCAGGCAATGGTGGCATCCCCCTGGGACAACAGCAGTGCCCTGGGGACAATGGCAACACTGCAGGGATGGGTGGCATCACTATGGGGATGATGGCATCATCCCAGGGGTGACATCGGCACAGAGACAACAGCATCATGCTGGGGACTATGGCATTACCCAGGGACAACAGCAGCACCCTGGGGACAATGGCATCACCCCAGAGGTGGCATCCCCATGGGGACAAGAGCATTGCCCTAAGGATGATGGCATCAGCCCAAAGACCAGGGACCCTATTAAGGCCCTGAGGACTCTATTTGGGCCCTGGGGATCTCATCACGGCCCTGGGATCCCCCAGGATCACCTGGATCTGGCCGGGCCCGATGAAGAACTTGCTGAGGATGTTGCTGAGGAAGTTCTGCACCTCGTACCAGGGGTAGATGCTGTTGGAGCCATCCAGGACGATGACGATGTCCATGTACGTGGAGCAGCCTGGGGTGGGGGGGGGACAGGGCTGGCACCAGCGCATCCCTGCATGTCCCAGCCTGCATCCCAAGCCCCACACTCACGCTGTGCCGTGGGTGCCACGGTCCCCACTGCCCGCAGGTCCCCATCCAGGCGGGCGCAGATGCCGGTGCTGAAGAGCGAGGTTCCGCACGGCTGGGACCAAAGCGGGGCACAAGCCTGGCCGGGGTGGGGGGACACAGGGACACAAGGAACGTGCCTTGGAGCCATCCACATCCCGGCCTCAGTTTCCCCTCGGAGGGAGCTCTCACCATGAACCCCCCATCCTTAGAGTCCAGCAGCGTCATCCCGAAGTGCACGTTGCGCTCGGGCAGCGGGAAGAGCCACGGGGCTGCGGATCCTATGGGAAAAGAGGGATGCGAGAGGTCAGCACCAGGATAACCCCCCCCGAGCCCCCCCCCGCGGCTCGGGAATGGCGCCAGGGGCCGGGCCCCCCCCCCCCCCCCGACGGTACCGAGGTCGGCTCTGGCGCAGGGCTCGCCGCGGGCTCCGACGTGGCACTTGTAGACGGCCCCGCGGCGGTCGCCGTCCCACGGGGCCGCCACCAGCAGCCTGCGGGGACACGGCGGGTCCCGGCACCGCCCGGCTGCGGCTGCCCGGGAGCGGCGCCAGCGCGGCCCGAGCTCCGGCCGGGATCGGCCCCGGGGAGCCCCAGCTCCGACCCCAGCCAGGACCCCAGAGCCCCATTCCTGCCCTCGGGAGTCACGGACGCGGCTTTGCCTCCACCCCCCTCGCCCTGCTCCATTTCCCCCTTTCGTGCCAAGTTTCCCTGCCTCAGTTCCCTCTTTCCTGCCTCGGTTTTCCCCGCAGGACACCACCACCCCTGCCCTGCCCCACACCTCCACCCCATGGGGACGCTTCACCCTCCCACAATGGCCGCTCCCCCATAGAACCCATAGGTGCCCCCAGCCCCACAACACCCATGGGTGCACTCACCACCGCTCTGTGCCATTCACCCACTGCAGCACCTTGTACCCGAACTGGGCCTGCGCCGGGCCATGGAAGAGCCGCGGGTGGCTCACGTCGATGTTGAACCCCACACATAGGCCTGGGGGGCAGGAGGGGTTGGGGGCGTCCTCGGGACCCACACATGGGGTCACAGCCCCGGGATTGGGGTGGGAAAGGGGGAAGGGGGGAGATCCTGCGGGGGGGGGGCATCGGAGCAGCTGGACCCCATATATAGAACCCCACATACAGCACTGGCACCCCATACAGAGCACCCCACATATAGCACTGGCACCTCATATATAGCACCCCACATATAGCACTGGCACCCCATACAGAGCACCCCACATATAGCACTGGCACCCCATACAGAGCACCCCACATATAGCACTGGCACCCCATACAGAGCACCCCACATATAGCACTGGCACCCCATACAGAGCACCCCACATATAGCACTGGCACCCCATACAGAGCACCCCACATATAGCACTGGCACCCCATACAGAGCACCCCACATATAGCACTGGCACCCCATACAGAGCACCCCACATATAGCACTGGCACCCTATATACAGCACCCCACATATAGCACTGGCACCCTGTATACAGCACCCCACATATAGCACTGCCACCCTATATATAGCACCCCATACACAGCACTGGCACCCCATATATAGCACCCCACTTATAGCACTGGCACCTCATATATAGCACCCCACATATAGCACTGGCACCCTATATACAGCACCCCACATATAGCACTGGCACCCCATATATAGCACCCCACTTATAGCACTGGCACCTCATATATAGCACCCCACATATAGCACTGACACCCTATATATAGCACCCCATACACAGCACTGGCACCCCATATATAGCACCCCACTTACAGCACTGGCACCCCATATATAGCACCTAGCACCTGACATGCAGCATCCCAAACACAGCACCCAGCACCCATGGGTGCCTCAGTTCCCCCTTTCCCACCTCAGTTTCCCCTTCCTGGACGTGCCCGCAGTGTCCGGGTGGAAACCCCCAACCCAACATCCCCATTTTGGCCCAGTTTTGCCCTTTTCCCCCCAAACCGCATCGATTCCCCCACTTCCCAGCTCCTCCAAGTGGGATCCGGCTTCTCCCCACACATCCACGAGGAATCTGGGGATCCCCCATCCCAAAAGATGCCCCAAATCGGGATGATTTCCCCCCAGAACGCCTCCGAGTTGAGGCTCGCACCTTCCTGTATGAATCCCACCCCAAATCCCATTGGATCTGGGGGCGCCGTTACCTGGGAGCAGGAGGATCCAGCAGCCGGCCCCCGCCATGGCCATGGCTCAAAGGTGACTCTGTCTCCGTCTGGGATGGGGTTTTTTTTTTCCCTCTTTTTGGAGTTTTTCCATAGTTTTTCGCCCTCCTCCTTCGCCTCCCATTGGCTGCTATAAATAACGTGCCCAAGCGGGGCTTTTCTGGGGGGAGAAACGCTGGAAAAACAGGCAAAGTGGCAGAAACCCATGGAAAAACAGAGAGGGGAAGGAAGGAGCGGGCGGAACGATGCGGGATCATTGGGGGGGGGGGGGGGGGTGTTCCTCTTATCCCAGCGGGTCCCCCCCATCCCTCAGGAAGTGAACCCCATGGATGAGGCGGCGCCATCCCCAAGGACTCGGCTCCAAGGCGGGATGTTGGGATGGGGCACTGAGGGGTGCCACGTCCTCCGGGTGACACCGCCACCTCCTGGACACTGCTCCCACCTCCTGGACACTGCTCCCACCTCCTGGACACTGCTCCCACCTCCTGGCCATTGTTCCCATCTCCTGGATGCTGTTACCATCTCGTGGACACTGCTCCCACCTCCTCGACGTTATTCCCACCTCCTGGACGTTGTTCCCATGTCCTGGACGTTGTTCCCATGTCCTGGATGCTGTTACCGTCTCCTGGACGTTGTCCCCAGCCTCCTGTTCATGGTCCCCACCTCCAGTTCTTGGTCCCAGTCCCTGGCCCCATGATTCCCATGGGATCAGGGACTGGATGCCAGGGGGACAGGGACCGAGTCCCAGGGAATGGGATCTGGAGCCTCAGGGGATTAGGAAATGAATCCAGGGAATGGGGGGAATTGGGGACAGCCTGGGAGGGGGGGGGAGATCCCCAGGGAGTTCAGGACTGGCTCCATGGGGGGATTTGGATTCCAGGGAATCAAGGACTGCACCCCAAGAAGGATGGATCCCAGGGAAACAGGGACTGGAGGGCACCATGCCCAGCAGATCAAGGACTGGATCCTGGCATTTGATGGTGGGAGTCAGGAGCATGGGGAATACGAACAACTGGGGGAATACATGGACTAACAAGGGGGAAAACACCTGGAATAAGTGGGAGGTAACTGGGATCAAGGGGGGGAATCTTTGGAATAACAGGAGGCAATGAGGGGGTAATGTGAATGGGAGGAATATGGAATAATGGGGGAATTTGGAGTAACAAGGAAAGGGGAATGTGAAACAAGATGGGGGGAATATGTGGAATAACAGGGAGGGAATAGCTGGAATAACTGGAGGGGGGATCTGGGATAATGGGGGCAATGTGGAGGGAGGGAATATGGAAAACCAGGAGTAATATGTGCAATAATGGGGGGAATACGTGGAATAATTGGAAGGGGGATCTGGAAGGGGGAGAATGGAATAACAGGGAATATCTGGAATAACGCATGTACAGACTATTTATTAATAGCACTCTGGGGGTACCTCGGAGCATCAGAGCTTCCCGAACCCCATTCCAGGGTCAAAGTCCAAAGCTCCTCATCCCATTCCTAACACTTTTCCCTCTCTGTTGCTGGGAATTCCCAGCCCCATTCCTCAGAGCCGGAATGCTGCTGCCTGCCCTGGACAGTGCCATAAACCCCAAGAGAAATGGATAAAACCAGTGAGGCAGCAGAACAAGCTGATGGGAACAATGGGAATCACGGCACGGAGCTGCCCTCACCTGGACTGATCTCAAGGAAAAGCCCCTAGGAGAATATGTGGGCAGCAAAGTGCAGCGGGGTGAATCCATAGAGCTCCAAGGCACCCCAAATCCAGCCCGGCTCATCTGGGGCCACTCCCTGCAGCATCCAAAGGGGTGTTGGATGCATCCCACCTCATCCCACCCCATGGTTTAACCCCCTCAAGCCTGGGAGAAGCACCCAGGGAGTCTCTTCCAGCTCTTTCGGCTGGATCCAGTTTGGGAGATTCCCTCTGAAGAGGAAAACGGGGACATCAACCCCCTTAAAAGAGCTGGGGAAGTCGATGGGGAAAAGAACCACGTTTAGGTCCATGGAGTTCTCCCATTCCTCAATGGCACCACAGGCAGCAGGAGGTGAATTCCCACTGCATCCCATTGGTCCAAGCTGCCGCAGCCAAGGAATGACCCCGCGTATCCCGGCGGCAGAGCTCAAGGCTTCAGCTTGAGCCAGGGGTGCAGGATGGTGAGGATGGAGAGCACGGAGGAGGTGAGGCCGCAGAGCCCCACGAAGCCGGGGCTGGTCCGGTAGAGCCCCAGCTTGTCCAGGGGGATGAAGAGGTCGCAGAGGTTCCTCACCAGGTCCAACAGCAGCGGCGGGTTCTTGCGGAGCACTCGGAGCAGGAGCCGGAGCTGGAGCTGCAGCCTCAGCGCCAGCTGCTGGGGCCGGGTCTCAGCCCGGGCTTGGAGCGCGCTGTCCCCGGCCCTGGCTCGCTTCCCGCCCGCCTCCCGCTCCAGCAGGATGCGGAGCTCGTAGGCGTCGCGGCTCAGGTTCAGCACCAGCGCGAAGAGGAAATACCTGGAGACACAGCGGGAGGGAAGTGTCCGCGCCCCGGCCGCACGGCGCGGGGGGGACACTCGGGCAGCGCCTCACCTGAAGGACCGGTGGCTCCACTTCTCCTGGTCCACGCTGGGGACGAGCCCGCTCTTGCCGGCCCAGAGCACGTTGTCGCAGGCCAGGTACAAGGCCCTGTTGAGGTGGCCGAGGGTGACGCAGAACCGCAGCACCGTGTCCGAGAGGTGCATGGCCCGCTTGGCCGCCTCCACGGCCTCCGCGGCGCTGCCGAGGCGCAGCACTGCGGGCGGACACCGCCGGTCACCGGGGCCGCCCGCCCGCCCGCCCCGGCCCCGCTCCCCCCGCCCCGGCTGCACTCACGCTTGCGGCCCAGGCCGAGGTGCGCCTCCAGCTGCCGGACGCTCGCCAGGGCCTCGGCGCTTGCCCCGTTCCTCCGCAGCGTGTCCGCGGCCAGCGCACAGGCGTACTGCGCGGCCCTGCAAGAGAGCGCGGGTCAGCGCGGCCGCACCGGCCTCCGGCGCCCCGCGGAGCCGGGAGCCGCCGCCCGCACCTCAGGAGCCGCTCCCTGGCCTGGCTCTGCGCGCTGAAGCGCACCCAGGGCTCCATGGCCGGGCCGGGCCGGGCCCGCGGCGGGACGCGACGGGAACCGGAGCCACCTCCGGCAGCGCGGTGGAAGGCGGTGACGGGCTAAACGAGTGCTCTGATTGGCTGCGGGCAGCAGGCTCCGCCTTACAGTATGCATCGAAGGCTTTGATTGGCTTCTTTCTGCAAGCCGTTCAGAACGTGATTGCAATTCTCCCACCCCATCTCCGTTCCGATTGGTTGATTTCTCTGTCATTATAATCAGTGCTGCAGCACGATTGGGCTGCTGTCTCTAAGCCCCACCTTCTCACCCTGGCCCTCACTTGCGATTGGGGTACGTAACCGGCGTGCGCCACACCCTCTCACGCCCCACAGGCGAGTTCTGATTGGGCTGTCTCCCCGCGCCCCGCCCACATTCCCGGCACTCTGCCCGGCCATTGGCCCGCTGCCTCTCTCCTCCTTCCCTCCCTCCACCCTTCCTCCAAGCCTCCTCCACGTTTCCATTGGCCAGCTCCCGCCTCCGTCCCGCCCCCTCCCTGAGGCGATCCGCACGCCCATTGGCTGCTCGGGCGGTGAGTGACGGCGGTGGACGGCGGGGCTCTCCCTGGTTGCGATGGAGTCGGTGCGGGCGGCGCGGCTGCAGCCGGGGCTGGGCTCGCTGTGCTCCCTGCGCCCGGGGGTTACCGGTGCCCCGGCCCCGCCGCCCGGCGCAGGGGCAGCGCTGCCCGCAGCGGCTCCTGGGCTAGGACTGGGGCTGCCGCCGCCGCCGCCCCCGCTGGGGCTGCAGGGACCCGCCGCGCCGCCGCTGCCGGGCTGCGGGCCGCCCGCTGTGCTGCGGGAGGCGGTGGAGGCCGTGGTGAGGAGCTTCGCCAAGCACACGCAGGGCTACGGCCGCGGTGAGCGGGGCTGCAGGAGCGGGGGGTGAGCCTCGGGCCGGGCCTCAGGGCAGCTCCAGGGACCCTGGAGAGGGGCTTTGGGCACGGGGCGAGGGAACGGGAGAGGGGGAATGGCTTTAACGTGGGCTCTGCTCCGCGGTTGTTGTCGCTGGGTTCGGTGTCAGGAACCAGCGCTGGTCGGTGCCGTTCCTGGGGGCTTTCCCCATCTGCGGTTTCGGTCGGTTCCAGTCGGGTTCGTTTGCTTTTCAGTCACTTTTAATGAGCTGTATTTGTTTAGATGCCCCACAGCGACCCATGGACACCTCATAGAGCCCCCCAGCATCTCCTATAGGGTGACCCCATCCCCACAGACACCCTATAGGCATCCCATAATGACCTATAGTGACCCATAGACAGCCCATAGATACCCTGTAGAGACCCTCCACGACCCATAGAGACCCTATTGAGATTATCTGCAACCCACAGATACCCTATAGAGACCCTTGGCACCCCATAGATGCCCAGTAGTGACCCACAATGATCCCTGAGCACCCCATAGACACAACATAGCAACCCACAGACATGCTATAGACACCCTATCGTGACATAGAGATCCCCATAACGACCTACAGCAACCAGTAGACACCCCATAGCAACCCATAGGTACCCTATGGAGACCCTCCACAACCCAATAGCAACTCATAGTGACCCATAGACACCCTATAGTGACCCAGAGCCACCCAAACTGAAGCCTTGTGCTTGGGATCTCCCACCCAGAGCAAGACCTTTATGGTTTAGGTGGTGTGAAAGGTGTGGGACACAAGGTAGGGCACAACTGGAGGTGCCCAGGAGGGTGCAGGATCTGGAGCAGGGATAAAGTAGAGGAGGATTCTCCCTTGTGCTGTGACCTGGAAAAGTGGGATCAAGTGGTGGCTGCTTGGGTTGTTTGAGCCTTTTTGGAGTGTTTAAGGAGGCTTCGTCTCACGTGGGAGTGATTTGGTCGTTCATTGACTTTAGCTTGATGGCAGCACGAGGAAACCCCTGCTTCCTCTCAGTGATCCCGGGAAACTCCTCCTTTCCTGGGAGCCCCCTCACTTCCCTGCTCCACACCGCGCTGAGGAGAATCCCTATGGCTGAGAGGAGAAGTCACCGGGAAGGGGCTGCTGATGTCTGGGAAGCATTCCACCATGCTCCGGCTCCACGGGGCTGCATCCAAGTGTTGCATCAGAGACTCTGGGATTCGTGTCCACTCCTTGTTCTTGAACGAAGACCAAAAGCAAAGGTTAAAGCTCAGATTTTCCTGGTCCTGGGATGGAAGAACCCTTCTGAGCCCCCCAAAAGGAGACGCTTTGCCACTGGTTTGAGTTCTTGACTTCCGGCAGGTCCAGCAGAGGCTGGGAGTGCTTGGCAGGACCAGGGAATGCTGCTCGTCTGGCCCTGGAGCAGCTCGGCACCATGTGGAATCACTTATTCCTCTGTATTTAATATGCAAGGCAGATGTGCTGTGGGATCCACAGCTCCAAAGCCAGAAACAGAGCTTGGGGCTGATGGGCAGAGCAGGCTCTGTGTTGTGTCAAGCAGGATGCAAAGAGAACAGTGCTTCTTCAGTCATGGAATACTTTGGGAAGGGACATTAAGGCTCATCTAAAGCTATGGACAGGAACACCTTCCACTAGAGGAGGGTGCTCCAAGCCCTGTCCAGCCTGGCTTTGAACACTGCCAGGGATGGGGCAAATTATCCACTCCTTCTCTGTTGTGTTTCATGTTCCATATGGGATTAAAATCCTTCAGGATGCATGTGTCCTTGCTTCTTTAAGGACCATTCTCATGAAGATGGCACCTACCAAGATTTAGGATGCCTGTTTACCATCTCCTGCCTCTTTCCAAAGGGGAAAGTCATGGATTGAGGGCAAATTCAACCTGAAGATTGGATTCCAGACTTGGATTGAAGCTCTCAGCCAGGGTTTAGCTGCTCAGCGCCACTTGGGCAGCCTTGCATTGAGGAGAGGGCAGATGCTTCCTGCTCCTCTTGCTGCCATTTGCTCTCCAGCCCTAGTAATCCCATTATCCCAAAGCATCTGTAGAGTTTCCAGTAGGTATTTTACTTTCCTACAACATTCTTGTATCTGGAAGTATTGAATCCAGTCAAATCCCAACCTTTTTGGCCACATCTCAGTGCTCTGCCCTATTGCACCAGTCACTAAGGAAGCACCTGCACCCCCCCCACACACACACACACACTGCTGAGTCCTAGAGCCTGAATGTGGGACAGAGAATCCCACAATGGGGTGGACTGGAAGGGATTTTCTTCCCAATATTCCATCTCAGTCTCCCCTTGGGCAGGTTCAGGCCATTCCCCTTGGCCTGTCCCTCCATCCCTTGTGCAAAGCCCCTCTCCAGGTTTCCTGTAGCCCCTTTAGGAGCTGCTCTAAGGTCTCCTTAAGGAGCTTTCTCCAGGGAGCTCCACGTCCCTTTGGTGCTGTCCCCCCCGAGCTGGATCAGGACTGCGGGGAGGGGCCTGGTTCCCTGTGTCTGACCTCAGTTCTCTCCCCGTGCCCTCAGTGAACGTCGTGGAGGCCCTTCAGGAGTTCTGGCAGATGAAGCAGTCCCGTGGCGCCGACCTGAAGAACGGAGCCCTCGTGGTGTACGAGATGGTCCCTTCCAACAGCCCCCCTTACGTCTGCTATGTCACCCTGCCCGGGGGCAGCTGCTTCGGCAGCTTCCAGGTACCTGGGGCTCAGGTGGGGCTGTCCCTGCTGCAGAGCTCGCTCTCACACTCGGGTCCCCCCCACCGCTGATGCTCCAGTAGCTTCCTGGGGGCAGCAGCACTGTTTTCCGGCTGGTTGGCAGCATGGGAATGCCATGGGGTCTGCCTGTAACCCTCTTCTATTTCAAACTGGCTCCTAAATGTTCTGATAAACCCCCATCCAGCATCAATTGGGATGCTGGTTTTACTTTGCTGGGTGTATTCCCTGCTTGGACCTCAGCAGTGGTGGGGTGGGATCCATGCTTCTGGAGGCCACCTTTGGTGGCTGCTTTTGATCTTTCAGCCTCCTTCCCAGTGAGATCCATTTCCAAACTAGTAAAGCACCTTTCCCATTTCACCCAGAACCTCTTCCCAAGGGTGGCAAATGGCTTGAGAAACCATTGGATTGATAGGAGGAGCAAAAGGAAAGGGTCCAGCCCAGAAATGCAGGTCCCAAACCCACACTGAGTCCTGACAGCTCTTCCCATTCCTGTGCTGTCCTGGCTTCGGGCATTTAAATTCCATGTCCTGAACGATGTGTCCCAAAGGAACAGCTCTGGCAATCCCAGGCCCAAGGAATGGTCCTTGTGGTCCTTGGGTTTGTTGTTGTGCTCAGTGGCATTTCCTGGTGCTGAGCTCAGCCGCCTCCCTGCTCCCTGTGCTTGGCGTGCTTGGGATAACTGTGGTTTCCTAAGGATTCCAGGCTGTCCGAGCGTGCCACATCCCAGCAGTGCCACCCAGTTCCCACTGGGAGCAGAGTGGGGTCTCTCTCTCATGGGGTCTGTGTCTCCCCAGTTCTGTCCCACCAAGGCTGAAGCCCGGAGGAGCGCTGCCAAGATCGCGCTGATGAATTCCGTGTTCAATGAGCACCCTTCCCGACGGATCACGGATGAGTTCATTGAGAAGAGCGTTTCCGAGGCTCTGGCATCCTTCAACGTAAGGCTTTTCCATTGATGGGGGTGAGGGAAAACCTCAAATGATGGGAAGAGAAGGTTGCTTTTCCAGCTGGAATTCCTTATGGCAGGTTTGGGGGTTGGTTTTATAGTGAGGATTAAAACTCATCCCAGAGGGAATTCTCACTGCAGTGGCACACAGATGATGCTGGGCTGGGAATTGTAGCTCTTGTCTGAATGTCTCCTGTAGGGCAATCGAGAGGAAGCTGATAATCCCAACACCGGGATCGGTGCCTTCCGCTTCATGCTGGAATCTAACAAGGGGAAATCGATGCTGGAGTTCCAGGTACTGCTCATCGTGGAATGCCGTGCATCTGTTCCCGCTCCGTCTGGGGGTTTGGGTGCATCCCAAAGCCCCTTGTGTCACTGCAATGGGGGTTCCTTGCCTTAGGGAAGCTTTTCCTGTAGCACTTGCCTGGCTCCTTTCCCTGGGATGGAAACACTCCAGAGATGGGAGCCAACCCTGTTATATGAAGAGGCTGTTTACAGAGGGTATTCCTCAGGCTGGGGTTGGCTTTGGGAATCTTGACCCTGCGTCTGGGTAACCTTGAGGGAGTCTTTGACTTCCAGCCTCTGGAGCTGGGAACTGGCTCTGTGATCCCTGGAACTGCAGAGGATGGGACGTGATGTTCCAGAGTCCTTCCTTTGTGCCTGGAGCTGGGAACTGGCTTGGCTGCTCCTGACACAGAGTCCTCATCCCAACACGTGCTCCTGACTCTTCCCCCTCATCCCACACTGTATTCCTGACCCCCTCGTGCTATTCCAGGAGCTGATGACAGTGTTCCAGTTGCTGCATTGGAACGGCAGCCTCAAAGCCATGCGGGAGAGGCAGTGCTCACGGCAGGTGAGTCCCGCTATCCCGAGCAGCATTCCCAACGCCTTATCCTCCTCCCAGAGCTCCTGTAGCTCACTCAGCACCCTGTATCCCGTGCAGTGACTTGTTTTCCCTGCCATTCCCGCCAGGAGGTCCTGGCTCACTATTCCCACCGTGCTCTGGACGATGACATAAGGAACCAGATGGCCATGGACTGGGTGAACCGGGAGCAGAGCAGCCCAGGGGCTCTTTCCAGGGAGCTGGCATCCACGGAGCGGGAGCTGGATGAAGCCCGCCTGGCCGGGAAGGAGCTGCGCTTCCATAAGGAGAAGAAAGACATCCTGATGCTGGCTGCTGGCCAGCTGGGAAGCACACACTCCTCCAGCTGCTAGGCTCCAGTGCTGGCATCCCAATTCCCAAAGGGATCCAGCCCTAACGCATGTTCCCAACTTCCAGCCTGTTTGCACAGTTGAGAGGAATTGGAAAGGGAAAAGCTCTTTTAGAGATCTCAAAACCTTGTTGTAATACTTTGCTCCCAGCTCTGCTCTTCCTGCTCTGGTGGTGTTCCAGAGCCGGCAGCATTCCAGGGATTTAGCACTTCTTGGAGCACAGACCTGCTTTCTGGTGCTGTTCTGCTTCTAGAATAGAGGGGGCTCTATCAACCCCCTTCACAACGAGTTCAAGCCCAGAGGGGAAAAGCTCCTGAGCATGGCAAAAGGGATTTAAACTGGGATCTTGTCTGGCCAGGCTTAAACATGGGAATCTGGCATTGCAGGCTTGGGATTTGCAGCCCTGCTCTGGCTCTTCGTGCCCAGGGTGGGCTGCAGTGCATTAACAACCACGCCATATGGTGCTTAAGGGGGGTTTAATTCATCTCCTGCCCTGCTCCTCCTTAATCCTTGTTGGATTCTTGGAGTGTTGAACCCAAATACCAGCTGCAGCTGGGAATTCTGCTGGCAATGGAGGGTTTGAGTTTCCAGGTGAGTGTTTGATGCTCAGAGAAGGTGGATGTTCCTCCTGGAGCATCCTTCCCAAGCCAGCTTCTAAAGGCCTAGCCAGGCTTCCCTTGGGAAGCAGGGACTGGGGAGCCTGGGGGGATGCCAGGACTTCAAATCAGGTCTGGTTCCCTGCAGCTGGGGTTAAGGCCCAGGTAACCAGAGCCGGGTTTTAAGTCTTGCTAAACCAGAACTCATTTTAAGTCCTGCTTAAGTCAAGCTGGTTAAGTCTTGCTGAACCAGAGCAGTGTTTAATCCTCACTTAACTAGAACTGATTTTAAGTCTGGCTTAACCAGACTGAAGTGTTTAAGTCTCAGTTAACCAGCACTGTGCCTAAACCTCAGGTAACTGGAACTGATTTTAAGTGTCAGCTAACTGGAGCTGGGTTTAAGTCTTTGTTAACCAGAGCAGTGTTTAAGCCTTACCTAACTAGAGCTGGGTTTAAGTCTTTGTTAACCAGAACAGTGTTTAAGCCTTACCTAACCAGAGCTGGGTTTAAGTCTTACTTAACCAGAGCAGTGCTGAAGTCTCAGTTAACCAGGGCTGTTTAAGTCTTGCTTAACCAGAACAGTGTTGAAGTCTCACTTAACTAGAACTGATTTTAAGTCTTGTTTAAGCAGTGTTTAAGTCTTCCTTAACCAGAACAGTGTTTAAGCCTTACCTAAGCAGAGCTGAGTTTAAGTCTTGCTTAACCAGAACTCACTTTAAGTCTTCGTTACCCAGACCCATGTTTAACCCCGAGCCAGGACTCAGGTCCTGCCCCTTGCTCCTGGCCATTCCCAAACCCCTTCCTCCTTTTCCAACGCGGGCAGCTGGAATTCCACCCCCCGCCTTAGCCGTAGCTCCTCCACTTTTGTAATCCTGCCCTAACAAACCCGGGTTAGTGGGATTTGTACCTTTTTTATATACGCAGCCTCTTGCCACAACGCTTCATGTCTGATGGGATGGAAATGGGGGGGGATTTGCCATTGTTACTCCTTCCATTGGGATGGGATCACTGGTGCTTCCAGAGCCTTCCAGAACCATCTGGAGCATCAAACGACCGTTCCTGGCAGCCCCGGACCCTGCTGTGAGACTCTGCCTCTGCCCAGAGGCTGGGAAAGGAGCAAATCCCGGTTCCTAGAGCATCCCATGGAATTGTTCTCAGTGTTCACGCAGTGATAGGGCAAATCGCTGCCACCACTGCGCCTTGTGTACGAGTTTATGCAATAAACACCCGATTTGGGGTAACTGCGGCGGCTTCGTCTTCCTTAGGGGTGCAGCGCGTCCCATGGCTGCGTCTGGGGGGGGGGGGAAGGGAGGGCAGAGGTACCGCGACCTTCCCAACATGGCGGTGCAGGCAGAACGCCATGCTTTGACCTCTCCAAGATGGCGACTAAGCAGCTTCCGCCGCACGCCCTCCCCAAGATGGCGGCTATGGAATTTCCGCCGCACGCCCTCCCCAAGATGGCGGTTATGACATTTCCGCCGCACGCCCTCCCCAAGATGGCGGCGATGCAGCTTCCGCCCTCCGCCCCTGTGGGCAGCGCTGCACGAGAAGGAGGGCGGATGGGAGCGCAGACTGCTTGGGTGTCATCAGCTGCCAACCGGGGGAGGAGTGCGCAAGGGAAGTCAAGAGGAACCGGAGAGAGAGCTCCTGAGAACGGTAACCACTGACACGGGAAGTGGCTTAGGGGAAGAGGAGCTGCTGTAGCCCGGTACTTCGCCGCTGTAACGTTAGAGAGCTCCGTCAGCCGCGCTGTTCGTGTGCCGCCAGCAGCGGGGTCCGTCAGCAGCTGCAGGCGGAGCCGGTGGCAGCGCCCCGCTGGGCTCCAGGCTGCGGGCAGGGAGCGGGATCCCGGCGCTGCGCTCGATCCGCTCCGCAGGACGGAGGTGAGCAACGGCAGAGATGGGTTCGGAAGTGGCTGGAGAGGAGGCGAACGCTCGCAGGCTGCTGGGAGCCGCGACGGCCGAGCACGGGGCCAAGACGGGGGAGCCTGAGCTGCGCGGGCTGCTGAGCTGGGTCTGCCGGGGCGTGCCGGGGGTCGATGCCGTGAACGTTTATGACCCTGCGGAATGGGCTGCAGCGGGGGCTGAGCTCCGGGACCAGGCGACCAAGGCAGACCCCACAGCATCGAGCTTGCCCCCTGCTTGGCGCGCTGTGCTCGAGGTGATAACGAAACACATCGGCTCAATAGATCCAGCCAAGCCTTCCGGCCCCCCGGTGCTCGGAGCGGCGGCACCGGCTGAGCCAGGCAGGGATAACCCCTCCGCTCCCGGCCCCATGTGCCCCCCCGACCCGCCGGATGTGTGGGGAAACGTGAGAGAAGGGGCGGAGAAGGAGGGCGATGTGGAGCTGCTCCTGAGGCTCAACGCCGCCTGCCCCATCCCGTACGGGCAGCGGTGGGAAGGGCTCAGCTTTACCCTGGTCACGGAGCTGCAGAAGGCGGTTCCGGATTTCGGCCTGAGAGCGCCGTACACTCGGAAGCTCCTGCAGTCCGTTCTGAGCAGTTACCCCTTGTACCCGCGGGACTGTAAAGTGCTGGCAACCTTAATTTTAACGCCCACCCAGTATGCTTTCTGGTCTATGCTTTGGAGGCAAGCCGCCGAGCAAACAGCCCTTGGTTATCTCGGACGTTGCCATGGAGACCCGGTGAGAGCGCTGGGTGTAGATGCGCTGTTGGGAACGGGTCCGTACGCGACAGCGGCCGCTCAGGCTCAGCTGCCCGTCACCGCGTTGTGCGATGCCAGGGAGGCCGCGCTCCAAGCGTTCCTGAGGATAGCGGAGCCCGGAAAGCCGCGCCGCTCAGTGAGCAGCCTCCGGCAAGGGCCCGCGGAGCCCTTTGCGCAGTTCATCGATAGGCTCAAGGATGGTCTGGATAAGGAGGTGGAGAGCGAAGAAGCGAAGGAGATGTTACTGAAAGCCTTCGCGGTGAAAAACGCAAATGAAGATTGCAAAACCATTTTAGAGCCACTGAACAACCCAACCGTGGTAGAGATGATAGAAGCCTGTGGCAGCGTCGGAACGATCTCCCACCAGTGTGCACTGATAACCTCCGCTGTGGCGGCTCTTCACGTCTCCCAGCAGAGCTGCTTCTCCTGCGGACAACCCGGGCACGTGAAACGCAACTGCCCGGCTCGTCGGAGGGCGCAGGGCCCGGGCGCCGGCCCCGGGGGTCAGAAGGGGCGGCATTGCACCAGTCAGCGCCGGTCGCGGTGCCGGGGGGGGAACGGGAACCGGAGCGCCAAGCCGTGGCCCCTGCACCCAGGCTGGTCCCCAGGGCAGGCCCCAGCGCCGCAGGGGGGCTGGCATCATCAGCATCAGTAACTGAGAGCAGCGGCAGCCCAGGCTGTTCCCACAGGAATGTGGGGGGTGCTGGGAACCGGCAGAAGTGCCTTATCGATTGGACGTGCTTCACATTCCGTGCTGGGGCTTTTTGCAGGGCCCGGTTTAACCGATACCGACTCTACGAGAAATGAAACTCGGGGTGTGGACCCCAGCACCCCCGTGTTCTGTTCCTGCGGAGTCACCGATTGCACAATTGATCCGCGTTGATCCGCAGGAAGAGGGACTCAACGTTTGGGGTCAGCAGGAGCCCCTCAGATACTATGAGACCAAAAACTCTCCGGGTCTGGACCTGAAAACCCGGGGTGATCGATGGTGTTACCAGCATTAACGGACACAGGAGCAGAGGCACCGTTATCTCTGCAGCATCGTGGCCTCCCGGTCGCAAGCAGAGCAAGTACCCACAACAGTCACAAGCACGGGAGGCGCATCCTGCCCAGTTCACATTGCAGGAGCAACCAGCGCTGGGGCGCGTCCTTTTGTTCTCCCGGCCCCCATAACGCATTGGGGATGAGAGCTCCTGAGCCAGTGGGGCCTGAGCATCGGCACACATTTATCCTGAGCGCCACTGATGGACAGCGCACCCTAAACCTGACCCTGCGGTGTGGGGGGGTCAGAGCCCTGCTGGGAAACCTGCCCCAGTTATAGAAGTTGGTAGCTGAACAGCTTCAACCAGTATCTGAAGGGGGGCTATAGGGATGCTGGGGATGGACTCTTCATTAGGGACTGCAGTGACAGGACAAGGGGTAACGGGTTAAAACGGGAAGTTTAGATTGGGTATAAGGAAAAAGTTCCTTACTGTGAGGGCGGTGAGGCACTGGAATGGGTGCCCAGGGAGGTTGTGAACGCTCCATCCCTGGCAGTGTTCAAGGCCAGGTTGGACAGAGCCTTGGGTAATATGGTTTAGAATCAGAGAATAGTTCGGGTTGGAAAGGACCTTAAGGTCATTCAGTCCCAACCCCCTGCCATGGGCAGGGACACCTTGCTCTAAACCATATTACCCAAGGCCTCTTCCAGCCTGGCCTTGAACACTGCCAGGGATGGAGCATTCACAACCTCCCTGGGCACCCATTCCAGTGCCTCAGCACCCTCACAGGAAAGAATTTCCTCCTTAGATCCAATCTAAACTTCCCCTGTTTCAGTTTTAACCCATTACCCCTTGTCCTGTCACTACAGTCCCTAATGAAGAGGCC